GTGCTTGGAAGTCTAGTGTCACGCAGGAAGGAAGCATCTTGAAAGCCTGGTGTTCTGGGTTCAGTATAGGAGGTGCACGTTTCCTTGAGTAGCTCTTGAAAGCAAACATACAACAAATGCTTTCAGTAGTGGATTGCTGGCCTTCTTCTTGTTGTTCTTTTTTTTTTTTTTTTTTCCTTGACTCTCATTTTCCAGGTGAATCAGTTGTACCTGACAAGAACATGGGGCTCTTGCAGGGATTTCCTCTCATCAGTGGGAAGGACTTGCTTTGGAGACTATTGCTTCTGAATGTGGCTGGTCAAAGAAAGAGGAATTTGTTGTTGTCCCTTTTTCTGAAGCCTTTCAGGATTATTTGGTTTATATTTTAAACCTCAAATCACCATTTTGAAATGTGACATTATACTTACAGCTGGCTGTATTGGTGATCAAAAGTGCCAGGTGTTCCCAAGAACAATTTATTGATGCTTGAAGTACATTCGAAGATTGGGGAGTGTTTTTGCCCAGCTGTGTGCTCAACAGAGAGGCATTGCTGCCCTGAGCCTTGAAGATTAAAAAGATTAAATGCTCTTTTGTTGCTACTGCTGACAGGAAGGAGAGGCTGGAAGTGTGGCGGGGCTGCCCCTGTTGTATTTTTTGTCTTGATTTGTTGTTGTTCTGGTGGGTTTTTGTTCAAGGATGTCTGTCAGTAAAACCAACTTTGTGCTGTGCGACAGTCTGGTGTGTCTCTGGGTGGCTTCTCGTGCAGCCTCTTCTGTGACAGAGCTGCAGGGTTACTTTCTGTAGAGCTGAGCATTGTGATGTTTTCTGGATCTTGTATGTTTTCTCAGACTTTAATGTTAAAACACAGCCAGGTTGTTACTTCTGGCCGGAGACTGAGAGAGGAAGGAGAGTTGTGTCCTGTGACGACCCGTAGGGAGTTCTTGTCACTGTCCTCTACAGTGGCTGTGACTGTGAGCACTACTCCAGCATTGAGCTACTGGGTGAAGGCGTTAGTAGTATGGTAGAAGGATTGACTGTTCTACTTTTTTGGTTGGGTTGGTTTTTTTTTACTGGTTTTTTTTGGGGGGGGG